AAAGATACATGTTTTATTATAGCAGGTTTTAGTTTTAAGTTAAATCTTCACAAGGAAATTCCTCTAGTTAAATTCTTGATAAGTAACCTGTGTTTTACCGTTTTTGTTATCAGCAAGGAGAGAAACATCCTTCTCTCTCTTATGTGGAGCCTCTTTCCTAGGTCGGATGGAGACCTCTAGCTAAGCTAAGGATTTAGGTCCACTATAGTATCATCCTGCTGTTCACAATAAGTGTGGAACTGCTAACTAAAAAGTTGTTGGTTCAAACCCACCAGCTGCTCCACAGGAAAAAGATGAGGCTGTCTGCTCCCATGAAGATTTAGAGCCTTTGAAACTATAAAGGGAGAGGATCATTAAAAAAGGGAGGGAGGGAAGCCCCTCAGTGAGATGGATTGGCACAATGGCTACAAGGGTCTCAAACAGTTGAGAATGGTGAAAGACCATCTTCAGTGTTTTATTGTTGGACCTAAAGTCACTATGAGTTGGAAGTGACTCGATGGCATGACCAACAGCAATAAACATGAGTCAGAATCCACTCGATGGCCTCGTGTTTTTTATAGGGTGATCCGGTCTCAGCTGGCTTGTGAGCTATTCTGAGATTAGTCCTGTAGATGGGGTCAGATAGGGATTCATCTAGAGAAGAACTAGAACTAAAGTATTCAGTTTAATGCCTCTGATTTTGGGCTCTGCTCTCGGGCAGGCTTCTCTGTGACCAGAATGGCCACGGAATCAAGTCATGACAGTGATCAAAAATACCCACTGCAAGAAGATTAAATAAAGACAAAACAGACATCAGAGGGCTTTGCGATGATCAGGAATAGGATTTTTATAAAGACAGAGGATTAAATTCCATTTATAGCAAAATGAAACAGAAGCATGAAATTAATGGATATAGCAAAACTAACACGCAAGTGGTGATCTGCAGCCATTATTGTTTGTGTGTATAATCATTGCATGTAAATGAGTCATGATTTATTTATATCTTGACTGTTAACTTCAGTGGACATTGATTAAGGATGTAGGTAAAATGAACTTCTCCACAACTTCAATCTTTCCTTTGTTTATCATGATGCCGCTTCTCTACTGAGGTGAGGAAATATTCTATAAAGGACTTCTTTTAAGAGTTAAAGAGCCAAGATGTGACTTTGAGGACTAAGGTGCACCTGACCCAAGATACGATATTTTCAATCACCTCATATGCATGTAAAATGTTGAAAATTAATATAGAGGACCACACAAGAGAGTGTGCATTTGAATAATGGTGTTGGTGACAAGTAGTGAATATGCTAGGACCGACCTACTAGCAGGAGTCCTTCCTGGAGAAGGAGATGCTGCTTCATAGACTGGCAGAGAAACAGAACAGGCCTCCATGAGATGGATTGGCACAGTGGCTGCAACAATGGGCTCAAATATAGATGACTGAAAATGGAGATAGATCAGGCAGTTCTTTTTTTGTCTATTGAGTTGTTATGAATCTAACCAGCTCAAAAATCACATTTTATAAACACTGACATG